TAGACAGACTTGACAACAGACATAAGGCATTAATGTCCACTGACAAATTTCTATAGCATATAGTTAATTCCTCAGATAGACTGGCCAAATTAGTTAAAGACTTTAAAATCTCTCTTGCTTCTGAAGTTACAAAGACGGAGAAATCCCAGTAAGAGACCAGGGTATTTATTAGAGAAAGAGAGAACTTCTAGTTTTCTCTGATAAGAGTATGAACTTTTCATGCATCTGTTTAAAAAAAAAAAAACCATTTGACATTGTTTCAAAAAATATCAATGTTAATGGCTAACATGGAAATAAGTACATACCACTGTTCTCAGTTCTTTACATGCATTTATTCACTTGACCCTTACAATGCATGTAATCTTACCCTATGAAACTGATACTGTTAACATTCCCACTTCATAGATGAAGAACTAGGTAAAGAGAGGTGACATATCTTGTCCAAAATTATACAACCAGTATGTGATGGACATAGGACTAAAAAATAGAGAGATGATAGACAAATATATGCAGACAGAAACATACACAGAGCTAGATATTATATGCACCAAAATACCGGTTGTTTTAGGAGGGATCTCCAAAATTTTACACGATTCAGGGCACAACAGTCAGCTTTTAATGTTAACTCTTGTAGAAATCAAGTAGACTAGAAACATTCTCACCCATGCAGCCTTGCAGAATTTTCCCTGCAGCATTCATTGGGAGCCCCAATTTGGAAACAACCAAAACGTCTTTTAAGAGTGACATGAGTAAATAAACTCTGCTACAAACACCGTTGCATATATTGCAGCGGTTAAAAACAATGAGGTCACACAATTTGAAAGATGGCTGAGACATATGGTTAAAAATAATACATCAAGCCAACCCTATGACATTCTGGAAAAGCCAAAACCATGGAGACAATAAAAAGGTCAGTGGTTGCTAGGGGGAGGGAGGAATAAACGGACAGAAAAAAGAGGATTTTTTTAGAGCAGTGAAAATACCCTGTATCAGATAACATAATGATGGATTCAGGCCTATACATTCATCCAAATGCCTAGAATATACAACACCAGGAGTGAACCCTGAGGTAAACTATAGACTTTGGGCAATTACGATGTGTCAATGTAGATTCATCTTGGGTAAGAAATGCACATTCTGGTTGGGGATGTTGATAATGGGGGAGGCAAGGCATGTGGGGGACTGGGGCACAGTGGAAATCTCTGTCTTCCTCTCAGTTTTGTTGTGAACTTAAAGTTGCTCTTAAAAAGTCTTTATAAAACACGTAAGATATGTCATTCATGTAATGAAAAGCACGTAACAAAAATATATTCTCCAAAATAGATGTATATAAAGAGGAAAACATTTGGGTGTGCAGGTACCATGTTGATATGTATATCAGAGTGATTTATCTCAAAAGGATTAGGTGATCAAGAGAGAACTTTAGCTTTATTTATAATTTGATTACTTTTAAACAGTGGAAAAGCTTACTAATTATACAATATAATATATTTGTGGATAAAATCACAATATTTTCAGAATCTCTAGCCTGGCCTTGGTGCATCTCCATATCTATAAGTGTTTTCAAGGGGTGGAGAGAAGTAGTCCATCTCCATATTGGGAGCAGAGGGTGGGTGGGGTCCCTTTTTGCAGCAGGGTCACGAGAGACTCTCGCAAGCAGAAGTGGATGACTGCTTGTAAGCAATAAACAGATTTCTCCCAGTTTATTTCTCCCATTGACTGATTGCAGTTTCAAAGGTATTTTGCCCTGCGCTGGGAAAATATCCCACCAACCCCCACCCCAGAGTTACAATAATCTAAAGAAGTAATTACAATTAATTGTTCTTTCTGATTTTGATTAATATGTTTGTCTAAGAGGCATGAGTTTACATCATCACACAAGACCTAGGGTCTGATTATCAGTTGAGTATAACTGCACAATGTTTCCACTTTAATGACTCTGAAAGACTTGTTCTAAGAAACCATCATGATTTCAGGCAGTCACCACAATCGGATTCACCTTCAAAGGTGACTAGTATCGAGACACAATAAGCGATCTCAAGCAATTCTGCAGTGAACTAGGACTTGCCATTTGCTGTGTCAGTTCTTGCAAATTCTTAATACCCTGCTCTTTTCAGCACTGATCACTGATATTGTCCTTATAACAGCATCTTGCTCTAAATTCTTTAAAATCTGATCACCCTAGTGCCTATAGTCATTTTAAGCTAACTTAAAATTTAGCTATTGCCTCCATTTCCTTCCCCTACATCCTCATTCAAATAAACATCCATTGTGTTACCTCATGATGAGAGAGGCCTAATCTCCCACGTGTCTGCTCAACCTTCTTGCCAAAAACCTGAAGAGGACCGGGGAGGACAGTTTCTGCAGAGAATCTGGGAGCAGTGCTTCTACATATATGCACCTGAGGACGTTAGTTTTTTCCATGCAATCTACACACTCATTCATTCAACAAGTATTGTGGGTAACCTATTTTATGCAAGACATTGTTCTAGACCTTTCCATAGGAATATGGAGAATGAAGGGGAATAGGAAACAGGAAAGAAATAGGCTAAAAGCAGCAAGAACGGCCTGGGTTTTAGTTCTCCTGCACTAACTGAGACTTCCAACATTTGATGGTGTGCTTTGCGGAAAAAATGCCATCAAGCAAACATCTAACACAACTCTCTCCCCTTTCCTCACTGGCCAGTTCCTTGACTGTGTAGTCTTCAAACAATATTTTATTGTAAAGGCCTAGTACTATTACAACACTGATTATTTGCATTTGGATAATTTTTAAGTTTCCCTAGCATTTCAAGTCTCCTACGTATCAAATTTTGTGTTTATATTATCATTCCCTTTTCTTAAACTGTCCTTAAAATTTTGGCCTTTTAGGTAAAACCCTCTGAGACCTTTTCTTGTCCGCTTGATTACTACCTATTGAAAGATTATGTCTCATAGACACAAACCAGCTACTTTCTTTCTCCTTATTATCAAAATATGAACATGCTCCAAAACCATCTACCACATATTTCACAGAAATGGTTGCCAATGATAAACTTTGTGAAAAGAAAATATTGGTCTATATTAGAATAATTTTGTGCTCTAAATGGTGTAAAGCAACTACTGAAAAGCTGTGTGATTTTTTGCTCCATGTGTTTTATTCATCTCTAGTTACAGAAGTACATTTGTGATTTATGGTTGGGAAGAGAAGATAAATAAGAGCTCATCAATAGGAAAAAGGGCTTTGATGATTTCAGTCCCTGGGACACCTCTTCCCAGAGTTGTTATGAGCTCTCGTAATAAGTATGTGACTTAGACTTTCCCCTTTGTAATTTCCTCAAAACTTATTTACTATTGTACTCAACGTTTAACAAACCTTTTCCTTAATGCAGCCTGCTACATTAAATTAAAAACATTTCAACCAATTTCAGAACCATTCTACATGAAAAGAAAAATATACAACTTTGACAGGCTAGTATTTACAAGGGAGAAAAGGTCTTAGAAAGTTATTTTTCTCCATCGTTCCTATTAGGCAATTACAATTTTTGCCAAACTAAATATCTTGTGAAGATCTTTAAAAGATAGCTTTGTAATAAGCCACTAATATCATGTTTTACTTTCAAGTGAAAAAGACGGATAAACTTATTTGTTGGGAAATTATTTTAAAACATTGCTCTATACATAGCATGTAATTCAGTATTATGTAATTCCATACAGAAATCTTTCCCCATGTCTGTTGCTAGATACATGAAACAGACTTCTTTCTAACATGATTTTCCTGATGCCCATACCTTAGGAGGGTTCCAGTGAATTCCAGATAGTATTTTTGTTGAGAGTTCCAGGTGCAGAAAATATATATATTTTATGTTTTATTATAATTCGTATCTAACACTCATGTATGTTTGAGTAACAAAAATTGCAGCATGACTTGTCAGTTTTAAGTGAGTTGGGAAAAAAACATGAAGATTTCAGGAATAATGGCAAATACTGTCTGTGTCTTTTTGGAAGAGTGAAGCATTCTAATTTGCTGAAATACCATATGCACAGATCATGTCTATTTTATTCACCAGCTCATCCATTGTGCCTGGCAAAAACTGTGCATATGGTGGCCATTAACATAGACGAATACATATTTTACAAATGAACAAAGTAAGTTGGGATGCTCCAGGATAAGTTTTCCCCTTCAAATAAATTTATTTTTTATACATAGATATAATTTCTTGAAATAAGATAGCCATTATCTTCTTCTAGGAACAGCTTATAAAAATCTGTTTGCAGGCTGGTGTAAATAGTAAGAAAATCTGTTTGCAGGCTGGTATAAATAGTATGTTCAAATCACTTCAGATTTTGGCGGTTAGATACATTCAGACCAAGTGTTCTTTTATCTCCTTTTCTACCAATGAACAGATTAAACTTCAAACACATTGGGATCAATGATACATTTGTAATATTTGTTGTTAAAGTACATGTGTGTGTGTGTGTACACATGCACACTTAAAGCAGATTATCTATGGAACATCCCTCCAGATATTTAAGGGAAATACAAATACTATCTTAATTCCCATACCATCTAGCCTTCTTTTATTATCAGAAAACATTTTAACTTCATGATTCACATGTATTGTCTTAAGTACTAAAGAAATATTTGTATGTTGTATTTACCTGGTTGTCCATCCATATTTGAGAGGCCCTGGGGAGGGGGGAGGGGTCAGCTCAGTAAGTTGTGTAGTTCAGTTTTGGCAAGACTTTGTTGATGTAGTCATTTCATAGTTTTATTGCTGCCAGCTTGATTTTAATTTGAACTGAATCTTTCAACATACGAAGTCAAGTCATACTTATTTTAAAATGAATTACTGGGTGATTCACTGATGAAACATTCTGGGGATGCCAGAAACATGGCCAGATGATTTAAATGACCAAACGAAGGTATATCCAGAGGGTAAATTGACTGTGGCTACTTGATTTGCAACATATGACCCTATAACTCTCTGTGCACAACTGCTGCTCTGGTTTTATCTTACCTCCAGCACTGGACACTCGGGAGGGGTCCTGATGAGAGCTGGATTTATTACGGTTTGGATTTTTCCGTTTGTTGGCTGCTCTCACAGATCGGAGAAGTACCTCACTTGCCTTGAAGAAGGCCACCATGAATGGCTGTTTTGACTGAGGCCCATGTCTTCCCACAAGACCGGCAGCTTTAACGTTGATACTACGTCCTAGAACAGAATACGCAAGCACTTGGTTTATGAAAAACGGAGAAAGTTTCCCTGGCGTGAATGAATTCCGAGGGTACTCGAAAAAGAGAAAAGCTTTAAAACACTATTGGAGAAAGGGGGCATTAGGATTAGGTTGTATAGTGGGGGTGGGGGCATGGGGAGGGCTGTGCAACACAGAGAAGACAAGTAGTGATTTAACAGCATCTTACTGTGTTGATGGACAGTGACTGTGAACGGGGATGTGGGGGGGGACTTGGTGAAGGGGGGAGCCTAGTAAACATAATGTCCTTCATGTAATTGTAGATTAATGATACCAAAATAAAATTAAAAAAAAAAAACTACCGGAACGTTTTCTTTGCAGGCCAATGATTCTTATACACATTAACAGTTTACTATTACAGACAATTATCCATGCCTGGTTTTTCGTTTTGCATCATTCTTCTACCACGGAGCACCCTCAAGCTCTTTCGCTAACTGAAAATTCTCAAACCTGGAAGTCAGCAATATTATAAATGGAAAGGCTTGACCACCATCAGCCTGGAAATGTCCACCATAAATAACAATTTCAAAAGTATTAGCTATGGGCTCTTCCGTATTACATGCCCTACAGTTTTCCTCTAAGTGATAAAAGCTGAATGGCTGGCTGGGCATTTCTACTTTCTCCAGCTTATTTCAAGCCTTTTAAGTGTGAATTAGTGCTGATAGCCTCCCCCTGTCACCTCTGGCCTATGCCCAGCAAACTTGACAAAGCTATGCTCTACTTAAAGCCCTTCACAGGTACATTCTAGAAGCCCCTGCCAGGGGCGGAGGTTTATTTGAAGCTCTAGTACTTTCTCAGTGTGAGGTACTTTGAAGTAAACATTGAAATGTCAGAATTCCTCCCCGCCTGAGTTTTGACACATCTGAATGTTCACTGACAGGATTTCAGAGGATGCAAACTAAGCCTGGAGACTCTCAGAAAGGTGAAAATTCCAGGTGTGCTTGGAGACTCACCTTTGCCTTTCAGGCTGCTTGTATCCCACACCCTTCAGAGCCTGCTGCTATGGCTGTGTGTCAGAGAAGAAGGAATGCACCCAGGGCCTGAACAGGAGTTAAGTGAGAAGTCAAGGGGCCCTAAAGACTAGAAGTGGATGTTGGTAAAGTACCCCTCCCATTGGGGTGGTAATAGTAATACTTTAATCATGGCAAATATACTTGGGGGCCTACTGTGTGTGTGCTGCACATTTTTCTAAGGGTTTTACATGCATTATTTACTTTGATTCTACAAATACCTTAGGAGTTAGATATTACCATTTTCCCCTTTCTCTAATTCTTTCTGGCTATGCTCTTCTAATTTAAAGTAGTTATCACTGAATATTATATATGTATATGTATATAAAACAGTTGGCTGATATCTAGTTCTATGAAAATCACTCACAGAGGTGATTACTAAATAGTTCCATATTTAAAACTACTTAAACCTTCATTGTAACTTTAGTTGTGAATTACTCAAAACTCTTGCAAAGTTTCTATTCTGGACACAGAGCTTCCCAATCTTTTGAAAGTAATATATAATGGTTTGAAATAGGTGCTAGATTGACTCTGTCTTGCCCCCTGAGAGATGTGCATGGTTTCTTAAAATATTTATTCAGTAAAGACTGTGGAGCAACCTCAGTCCATTATAAGACTTGACCCACCTTAAAAGAAAGGAAAGGAAAACAAGTCCCTGAAACAGCATCAATGGCATTTTAGCAAATAAACTCTTGCTCTTAACAGAATTTATTTTGGCTGCATAAACACTTTTGTATATACTTGTATTGTGCAGAGACCTTCTACCGTCAGAAAATGAGACTGTGTCATGTGAGGCTGTACAGCTGTTGGGAGGGACACAGAGGTCCTTTAAATGTGGAGGTACTGGTTTAAAAAAAAAAAGAAAGAGAGAGTACACCGATTCAGGCCGAATCAGAGTCCTCAACAATTGATCTACAATGTATTGGAGAAACTTGTTCAGTTCCCATAAGCATTAAAATGGCTCTCTGCCTCACAAACGCCACTACCCTCAGTCCTGCCCAAGAAAGAGCTTACAAATAATCGAAGCAGTAAACCTTACACAAATAAGCATATAGTTTTCTCTTTTAAATGCAAACTTACAGTGGCTCTATGCCAGAGTCTATAGTTCTTAGAAAAACTCTATCACTGGCATAAATGAAAGAGGCAGTTTGATTTGTGGTCAGGGCAGTTTCCATTCTACTTCCACTGCAACGAATGTATTAATTCAGCTCAGACTTCCTCCTTCTGGCAGCCCTCTTGCTGTAAAAAGAGAAATTAGAAGTTCCAGCCAAATACCATACCTTGAACTGACCCACTTCAATACATAAACACTTTTACAACATGTTTATTCAGGTGTAGCACTTGAAATTGGTTTAAGATGTTTCCAGTGACAGAGAGCTCAGCACAAGGAAAAAAAAAAAGAGCTGAGAAACTTAACTGTTATGGAATAGAATAACTGGCAATCTGTTCTTCAAAAAAAAATTTTTTTTTCTGTCTTGGAGTACAACATTAAAAGCATTTGTTGAGCTTTTATTTTGATTTTTTAATGAAGTGTTAATTTAACAGGAACTAAATTTTTACTTGTCTACATTGATGACTGCAGACATCATTTCTAATATACGATCTTTCTAATACTAAAATAGGTTGCCACACAATGTTCACAAATGGAATACAGTAAAATCGGTTTTCCATTCATTACAACACACACTGACCCTTTTATAGTTAAATAAGCACTTAACACAAAGTTCCAAGTTCCCTTTGGTTTGCAAGAGGGTTTCTTTTATTATTATTATAAAGACTTTCAATATTTTAATTTTTATCTGTGGAGAAATAATACTGCTTGAAAAGATTTATGTTCTGAAAACTGTAAAGATGTGTGTATGTTACAAATGTGGGTTTCTTGGGCTTTACAAAGGTGGATATTGTGTGTGAAGCAAAGTACCCCTTCAAACCAATGGGAACTCCCTTTAAAATAACTTTTGATATTATTAAGTTTCCTCTTGGTTTCCTTTTTACTTCAGCAATAAGGTGACTATTAAGATTCCATAAGTTACTGCTTGCTTAGTTACCCTTGGTCTGAAGCTACACCATAGAAGCGTTAACTATTCAACCTATGCCTTCAGACACAATGTACCTACACTGATATTGTTGACCAAAACTTTTGAATGGCTTGACAGTTTTTTTGTTTTTTGTTAGAAGTGCTAGTGAGAATCCAGATGTTGTGACATGTATTAAAAATACTGAATCTTTTATAAAATATTTTGATATGTTGAATTTTATTATTGAATGTACAATATGTTTCCGACATTGCAAATATATTAGTAAAGAAGCCTACCTAAAACGTCTTGATTCAGGAAAACTATATGTAGGTGTGTATCACCATGGTTCTATTTTTCCATGATGATCCCAAGTTTGGATTTCTAGTTTAAAAAATATACATAGGTAATATATAAAGGTTAAGGATTGACTGTACTGTAGAAATGAAAATGGGGTGGAAAAATGGAAAGAGTATTAAAAAAAAAAGTCATAAGGACACCAGCTTGAGCCCATGATTAGTCACCCTAAGATTTGCACATGTGTAGGCATGGCGAGATGTCGGAAGGCTTAATTCACCAGGCATGTATTTGGATGACGATGGAGCAACCTTATGGGAAAGAACTCATTCTCAGGAAGAAGTGAACCCCTAATATAGATGAGAGTGTGGTCAACAATGTGACAATGTGACCCAAGCAGTGAAAAGAAATCCCTACATCCGAAGAGTGGTTTCCAAGCAGCTCCACATTGGTACTGGCATGGCTGCAGCAGAATGTAGGGCGGAGATGATCTCCTGTGTCAGCATCAGCATGAGCATCAACATCAGGTTCAGAGAATGGTAGCAGCTCGAAGGCAGGCAGAGCAGCGGTCTGATGGCCTTGGGAGTTGTAAGGTGGACCACAACCGTACCAAAGTGAGAGGCAGGGCTGGTGGTGGGATGAGGTGGCTGTTAGAGCAAGAGGACACTTCGCTTGCATAACGTCCATGTCCTAAAGTTGTACCCTGGGCTGCGGTACCTTCGGAAAGGGATGTGATTGGCTAGATGGTGAGGAGAGAACAAGAGGGAGAAGAACTGGGTGGCTGGGAGTTGTTCAGGCTTAAACACAAGTGCGTTCTCCCACACAGTTGCCAGGGGAGCGGAGATAGGAAGGGTTCTTTGAAGGATATATGAGCATGCCAGTGATTTCACTGATGTTACCTAGACCCAAAGAAAGACTCTTTGTGTCCAGTTATCCCAGGTTCATGCTTCATAGAGTTCTTGGATTATAAAATAAAAGGGACAACGAGAACAAATACGGGAGTCCAGAGTTTGTTGGCAGAGATGTTGTCCTTCATATTTATAAAAAATAACACCCTTTACATCTTTGCATGTGAAAGTCTTTTAGAACTAGTCATACCACAGCCATCTAGTTTCCATCTCAAAATTATTGCACGTCTACTGACTGAAGAAAACAATCTGAGCAGCAAGGTTAAGGGCATATTATTTCTCAGTTTGATTAACTAGAGTGAATAAAGATGGGGTTAGAACAGTTTCTAAAGAAATGATTATTCTGTTCACACAAGAATCAAGAAGGAAATATGTGAGACCGGGCTGTAATGAAGCTGGAGATTCAAGACTTCCAGACCTGATGCTCTGACCCTTCTGACTTGGGGCCAGGGTATTGTGTTCACATCTGCCTAAGGATGCAATTAACTATTTCAAATTTTGACTCATAGGGAAGGTAGGCTGGCAAACCAAAGATCCATCCCAAACTCACTGGTTTTGAATTTCAGACCATTCTTTTTGGAAAATGTGACTTTCAAAATGTTTATTTCTTTAAAAACAGGGTTATTAAAGGAGATGCTGACATAAAACAGCTCTTCAGAGCCATGTTCCTGTTATGAGGATAAGTGGTTCCAAATATGAACATTTAGTTTTCCTCCTGAATACACAGTTT